GAGTTTGGGGTATGGAGAAACGGTGAGAGAGAATCAGGTGCTTCGATGGATATGGAGACGATGAGGACACGTGTGTACCAGTTAGAAAGAGAATGCTTGAGCTTGAAGGAAGTGATCGCGAAGATCGACAAGAAAAGTTCGTCGGAGGAAGTGAACGATCGGCGGTTTGTGAGTAAGTGGTCGATCAGTAAAAAATTCGGATGCAAATTCAAGACACAGGTTTGTGATTCGCGTGAGTCAACGATGGTAGATCGAAGATGTCGACATTAATGTACTGTATATACACAAATCAGAACACTTGTGCTTTGAATTTTTTTTTTTTTTAGGTTGAAGAATTCTATTTTTTTTATATATCGATTTGAAAGAAGATTGATATAACTTTGTATTAAATGAAAAAGAAGATTGTGACTTTTGATTGCAATGTTTTCTTTTTTCATAAGATCATTTTGGTACGAAAGAAATAATTTGGGTTTCGTGTAGGGATTTAATTTTTATTAATACCTATAATGTCGTGAAAAATGGAAGCATTAGGAAAATAGCATAGAACTTTGGCTGGTTGTAGCAGATGCATGGAGTGAACTTATCCATTTACAGACAAGAACGCTATTTATTTACTACTAATCATATATAGACATAAAGATTTTGGTCTCTAGTAGTATAGACAAACGAAATTTGCTGCGGATGATTCTTTTTTTTTTGTTGCGGATTAAATTATTAATGAAGAAAGAACGATCCACAACTGATTGATGCTTGTTCCAAAAAATAAAGCGGTCCAGTTCGCAAACGGATTAATTCACTCTATCTGTTTACAATATAAATCAAAATCTAATATTCGAAACACTAGAAAACTAAAACTAAATTTTTTGAAAATAAAATAAAACTCAGTTATTAGTATTCCTATGTTTTAATTATATATTCTTCTTGTCAATCATTTAGTTTTTGTTTCTTGTCAATCAATATTTTTTTGTTTCGGCTTATCCCTAAAATAATTGAGGATACCCAACGGCGAAAAAACAACAATTTGTGGATGCGACACAGAACGCGGAAACCAACGGAATAGGTCAAACCGGATGGTTAATTCTGAACACGCGGCGGTTTAACCTTTCTCCATTAGTATTTTATTCAATCAGAAGGGGACACGTCACTCATCACAAGTGGTCAGCAGCGGTAAACCAGGGCACGATTGAGAGAGAAAAAGAACGAAAAAGCAATTATAAACATTTGGGAAATCTGAGAATCGTGAGAAGACGACCTGGATAAGCTGAACCTAGCTGGAGGAATATAATAATTTTGAAAGAGATATTAAATAAGTAAATAAAAAAGCTTCAAAATTATTGTCTTTGAAAACGAAGATCGATTATCGTTTTGATTCGGCTGGAGAAAGAAGAAGAAGAACAGAAAAACAATGGGGCGTGTGGATTATCTGGCGATGAAGACCGACGTTGATACGGTTGCTCTGGTCAATTCCGACTTGGAGGAGCTCAAGATCGCTGCGAAGAAACTCGTCAGCGATGTTTCGAAGCTTGGTGGATTAGCCTTTGGTGTTTCTTTCGTCAAATGGATCGCTTCTTTCGCTGCCATGTGAGTCAAATTCAATTCGCCATCTCTGATTTTGCTTGTCGTCGATTTTGTTTGTTTGTTTGTTCAGTTTCTGAAACGAACGAACGAATATGATTTTCTTTGTGGATTACTTCGATCGTCGACGACTGGGTAACTTTCGTGCTTCATGTTGGGTCAATTGAAATTGAAAAATTCGATACGAGATTATTGATTAGAAGGGTCTATGAAAGTGAATCTGATTGATGTTTAGCAACGATTTGTTACTCTTGTTATTGAGATTTTTTTAAATGAATAACGTTTTCTCGTGGCTTTGACACCCAGTAATCCAAGAAAATTCAATCATATTGTAACTGTTTACTGAACAGATTAAAAATAGTGATTGAGAGAGGTTTAATCTCCATTTGTAGTAATCCGACTGTTTCAAACTCTTTTTTTTTTTGTGTGCATCTTTTGTTGGTTGATAATATAGATTTGATCACAATAATGATATTGGTATTTGATGCAGTTACTTGTTAATATTGGATCGTACCAATTGGAGAACCAAGATGCTTACAGCACTCTTGATACCATACATCTTCCTTAGCCTTCCTGGTGTGATTTTTAACTTTCTCAGGTAACAATCTTTTCTTTTCCTGTCAAAAGAAAAAATCTTTCTATCTCACAACATAATTCTTACACTTAAAAGTCTATAAATTGCATTGGTTAACTAAAAGTTTACCTTTCTGTTATCAGTGGAGACGTTGGGAAATGGATAGCTTTCGTTGCAGTTGTACTCAGACTCTTCTTCCCCAAGCATTTCCCTGGTGATGAGATCTCGTTATCTCTTATTTCCACTTATTCTTCATTTGCATACTTTGTATTGTTGTCTCCAAAATCTTAAGTGTTTTATCTTATTAACGAATACGCTTTTGAAGTAAATCTCTACTTGCATTCAAGTCATTCCCAATGGCCACTGTGTTGGTGTGAATTGCTAATAGCTGATACTAAAGTCTCACACTTTTTGTTGTTGTGGTGTTCAAAATTGGCAGATTGGCTTGAGATGCCAGGTTCTCTGATCCTTCTGCTGGTAGTTTCTCCACACTTCCTAGTGCATCATATACGCGGAACCTGGATTGGCTCGGTCATCAGCCTTTTTATAGGATGTTACCTTCTTCAAGAACATATCCGTGTAACGGGTGGGTTCAGGACTTCATTCACGCAGCCCCGTGGAATATCAAACACTTTAGGGATCATCCTTCTTTTGGTCTACCCTGTCTGGGCTCTGATCGTTCGTGTCTCATAAAACCCACATTCCTCTCAATTTCATCTCCAAGTTGTGTTCTTGCTCGGCTGGTCCAATAAAAACTTCGTGAAAGATCGAGCAAGAACCTATCTTTCTGCTTCTGTTACATACCCAAATACTACTGCCTCAACGCAAAGCTCAATCAATGTTCCATATATATAAAAAAAAAGAATCTCGTTTTTTTCAACTATTTGTTTGTCTATTGTAAGAAGAACTTGTAAGTTCTGAAAAGTTGTTTCGATGTAAATTGCTTATGAATTTTGTTTCGTATATGCCGTCGTGGAATGTTTGTCGTTTTGGTATAGCAAAAAGTGCATGAGCTACACGCTGTTTCAGACTAAGTAAGGAGCCTTCATGTCGTTTTGTCTATTGTTGTAATATATCTTGGGCCAGTATACAGTATCTCTAATTAATTTCCACATAAGGAATGAGTGGCGTTTTGGATTCGCAAAAGAAGGAGAACAACACGCCGTTTAAAATTTAATAACTAGACATTCATGTCGTTTATATCTTAGGGGACGTCCCAAAACCCTAGCCCTAGCACGGCTTGTATATAAATACTCAACTATCCGCCGATCTTAGTCATAAGTCTTCTCCGATCTCTGAGTTCTACTCTAATTTGAACCTCAGGCTGTGCTTAGTTCTTTAGATGTCCTTTATTTAGCTGTATTGATTTCCGCTGAATAGATTTGTGTTTTCGTTTCTTTTCAACGTTTTTGCTCATGTTTTTGATCTTATTCATCTTTCTTTCGATATAATTTTTCTCTTGTGCTTTACTTTTCTTCGATTTTTACGAGTGGGGAAAAGGGTTTCTCAGTGATGAACAACCATAGATGACGAGTCCGATCAATCCATTCTTTAAATCATGGGGACAAACGAGGCATTTGTCTGAGAGGAATCCTTTTATAAATTTTGTTTTTCAATCTACTGTAATTTCTGTTTAAAGTTTTTGATTTTGCGATATTTTTCTTAAGAAGGAAAAGAATAGGCATGATGAGGATTGTTTATTGTCATCTGATTCATGACGAATTAATACCTCCTACTCATTCTGAGTGCTTATTTCGTTTCTTAGTTTTCTGTATATTAATTTCATTATATGATTCCATAACTACAATCGGTTGTCTAAAAAATTGAATTAGTTGACTTGTAGAGCATTATATGGATTGGTTCTTAACATCCTAAATTGAAAACTATTGAATTCCTTATTTATCAATTCTACTATGGTTCCAAGAATTAGTAGTCCAATTATCATGCGAGTGCCAAATTAAAATACTAGTCTCTAGTATTATTAAAATTAATGTTTGTCATAGTTGGATGATGGTACCTTGATAAAAAAAAATGAAACTTAGAGAATTTAAAAGGAAAAGTTATCATACTCGAATTATCAACACATAAAAGTTTTTAATTGTATACGACAAATAAAGTTCTTGACTAGCTGAACCAATGTTTCCCCTTTGGTTTGTGCTATTGGTGTATATATGTCTCTGGATTAAGAAAATTTAAAACTTCTTGTTTCAAAGGATTTTACAAAAATAAACAATATTATAAATAAAATTTAAACTTATTGGATCCTTTATTCGAGATTCATATAGACTCATTGTAGTCACTCCAGTCCTCTGAATGAGTGTCATCGTGATGCACCAAATCATCTTCATATGCATTATCAATCTGTCTTTCTCTTATAAGCTTTGCCATCGTGATAACGTCGTACCCGAAAAGATAGAAATCTATAGCATTCACCATCGTGGCAATGGTGTTACCCATCGAAAAATAGGAACCTGTAGCGTTTAAACTGCAGGAGAATATAAAAAAGAGACCAAAAGATCAATACCTTGTTTAGGATTAACAACATATATAACTAATTACCATGATCAGAGATATAATAGTATCCACGAGATCTGATAGAAACGCTCTGTTTTCTCAAAGTTTATATGATCAAAAATAAAGTGCAAGCCAATGAAAGTGAGAACAAGAGGATCATTATAATCAAACCAAACATAGATGCAGAAAAGAACAGAGAAAAAAGAAGAAGATATACTTACCGAGCCAACTTGGGGAGTTGTGTTTTGCGAGTGAGTTTTTTTAGATATATAAAGAATGAGTGTATCATGCATCTGTGAAGAGGAAAGAGGTGCGCGAATATGAACAACCTTGGCTCATCGTAAATTGATACTTAGCCATAATTACGAAATTAAATATTTGAACTACCAATGTATATTAAAGGACTCTTCAAGTGCCACCCTTTCTGTTCTTACTCGACTTAGTTATCAAGATTCATATTTTTCGTGGGAAAAGAGAAGCATTGTGAATTGTGAGAGTGGACCTGCGACTGGCGCTATTTAGTAGTCTGCGACTGATTTATATCCATAGTCATATTGGTTGTATTGAAAAGCTCTATAATTCATTGTCATGTTATTGATGCTATTTTTGCCATTTTTCTTTTTACAGGACCCAAAAAAAGAGTTATGTTTATGTTAACTTTAAATTCACAAAAAAATAAACCACAAGCTTGGATGAAAGTAAAAAACTTCAATTTCCCGCGCGATTAGTTTCCAAGTTCATATAAATAACATTAATTTATACGATTAAAAAAAACCCTTTATAATTTTGTTGCGACTTATATAGGCTGTTGACCAAAGGATTCAAAACAGGACGAAGGTTCGAAGAGCTTCCAGAGAAAATAATGATTTGTTTTCAAATAAATTATTGTATCCACGTCAGCATTGCAGATTGAGACCGTATCTATATTTCCACATCAGCTTCTGACACGTGGCGACCAAACAACCGTAGACTCCTGAAACTATCCAATGAAAAAATTCGAACTTATCCGACCTTATCTTATTAAGAAGAAAAAAAAGCCCTCTCCTCCGATTAGTACTTCTCAGCTTCACATTATCATCATCACTCAAACAAACACAAACATCTGAGAAATTGTCGTCATGGCAACCTCTCTACAAGCCGCCACAACTTTTCTTCAGCCGGCCAAGATCGCCGCTTCTCCTTCTCGCAGCGTTCATCTCCGATCAAACCAAACCGTGGCCAAGTCCTTTGGGCTTGAATCTTCACCAGCTAGACTCACTTGCTCCCTCCACTCTGACTTCAAAGACTTCGCCGGAAAATGCTCCGATGCTGCCAAAGTCGCCGGTTTTGCTCTCGCCACCTCTGCTCTCGTCGTCTCGGTATAACTTCAATTTCTCATTAAACATATAAACTAAAAACTTATAGGCCATTGTGTTTATTGAAGAACCAAGTTAGGAATCGTTATCTAAGACACATCCATTTTTTGACTGCCGATAAATTTTGAATGAAAAACTTGTGAAAGATAGACAAATCCACTCATTACCATTTCTTTTTTTAATAGGAGCATTACAATACTTGTAAATTTAGTTGCATATTGTTAATTAGTCTTTTATTCTTGTTCTGTAAATAAATATTTGGGAAAAATGAAGGGGGCAAGTGCAGAGGGAGCACCAAAGAGGCTAACGTACGACGAGATACAGAGCAAGACTTACATGGAGGTTAAGGGGACTGGTACAGCGAACCAGTGTCCAACTATCGACGGTGGCTCTGAAGCATTCTCATTCAAGCCTGGTAAGTACACTGGCAAGAAATTCTGCTTCGAGCCAACTTCCTTCACCGTCAAGGCAGATAGCGTCAGCAAGAACGCGCCTCCGGATTTCCAAAACACCAAGCTCATGACCCGTCTCACTTACACACTCGACGAGATCGAAGGACCCTTCGAGGTTCGTCCTCAAATCAAATTATAGATGTTGCTTCCACCGCAAGAAACAGACATTGTCAAAATTTGAACTGTTCATATTTGACAGGTTGGTTCAGATGGAAGCGTGAAGTTCAAGGAAGAAGATGGGATCGATTACGCAGCAGTTACGGTCCAGCTTCCTGGAGGAGAACGCGTGCCGTTTCTCTTCACGGTTAAGCAGCTCGAGGCTTCAGGGAAACCAGATAGCTTTAGTGGCAAATTCTTAGTTCCTTCGTACCGTGGTTCGTCCTTCTTGGACCCTAAGGGTCGTGGTGGATCCACTGGGTATGATAATGCTGTGGCTTTGCCTGCCGGAGGCAGAGGAGACGAGGAAGAGCTGTCGAAAGAAAACGTGAAGAACACGGCGGCTTCCGTCGGAGAGATCACGTTGAAGATCACTAAAAGCAAACCGGAGACAGGAGAAGTGATCGGAGTGTTTGAGAGTCTTCAGCCGTCGGATACTGACTTGGGTGCTAAGGTACCAAAGGATGTGAAGATCCAAGGGGTTTGGTATGGTCAGCTCGAGTGATTTATATATTTCTAAACTCTTGTCCAAAGTGTATTTGAACCCTCTTCTTTATATTAATGAAAATGCTCAGATAAGTAAACTATGTTAGTAAATAATATGAGGAATTAAGTTTGAATTAATCAAATCTCTTATTTACACGCGAGTTTAATGAACCGTAACAAATGGAACATGGATTGGAGCGGACGAAGATTGAGTTACGTATTGTATTGGTTACAAGTTATGAGTTTATCACGAAAATGGGAATTTGTTAGGAAAGAAAAATGTGTTGTGTCCAATTATTTTCCTTTATTTATATTAGATTAGGTGAGCTAGAGTTGGGTGTGATGGTATGTTTCAGTATTATAGACGAGAATAATGAAATCTGTATTTTGCTTTTTTTTTCCTTCTTCTTATAATTAATATAAAGTTGACTAAGTTTTTATTTGATTATTATGTGGTCGGACTACGTTTGTTGATTGGAACCAGCGCATATAGCCATAGGGTGTCAATTTTGGTATATATCTATATTTAGGCCTTGAATGGTGATTGAAAAGCGGGACGGATTTCGAAAAAATGAGTAAAACCGCTTTATGGTTACCAATCTCATACATTATTTTTGTTTTTGCGTTTTTTTAAAAAAACTCATCTAAATCCGCGCACAAATTTCGATGCCTCACATAAATGAGATATGCTTTTCAAAATCAGGAAGCAAGCAAATAGGTGTGGACTACTGAAAAACGCCTTTCAATAGTACACTTGTCAATATATATTTGACTAAAAAAAAGTATTATTACAAATCTAATTTTTTTAATTAATATTTGGTTTTCTTAGTCTAAGATTTTTTTCTTTTCCTGTCAAAATTTGATTTCATTTAAATTACAATAAATAGTTAGTCAACAGGTGTATCAAATATCTTATTTTGCTGAACATTTGAATATATTAAAAAACAAATCTTTAATATATCTATTTTAAGATAAAATAATATTCATGTACATAAAAAAATGATAACAACTATAGTCAAATTATATTATTTTATCAAAATTTTATATTCTTTTAGATGTAAATTTTCTATATGTAATGATAAAAAAGAAAATAAATAATAAAGATTTAGAATCTTATATTTAAATTGTTTATACATCAAAATATTCTTAAATTTATGTATATTTTTAAATGTATATAAACATTTATAAATTAAAAAAGATAATTTAGATAAATTTTTGTAGTTTAGATTTATTAATAATATATTTTTAATATATTTATCTATAATCTGTAATTTATATCAATTTAATCTTATTCACCAATCAAACATTTTATTATGGACCGCAAATTATTTTTTCACCAATCAAACATTATTCTGTACCGCTTATTATATACAAACTGCACTTCTCCCGCAAATATACTTTCCTACACGGACTGCAGTTGAACCGTATCGCACTATTAAACCGCTTTTACCGTACAGTTAAAAATGCTGTCACCATTCGAACCTTTAATAGATAGGAAAGTATTTGAAAATGGAAAGGTTTTAAATTTAGCAGTTACTAGAATACAGTCCTACAAAAAGTATTGGCTATATGAATCAATTATAAAAATCAGAAATCAGAATCAACAATTATACCAGCCAGTTTGTTCCCATCTGTTGCATGATAACTATTTCATTTGTATTATTATGCAAAACTAATACTTTACATGCTGACTATTGTGTAATTCAAGTCCTTTCTATTTCTTAAACAGATCGTAATATCCATCAAAATATGATGCTTTAAAAGTACTTAAACTGATTAAAACGTAGGGCCGGTAAACATTAAAAATTAAATAGCATCTTATATGCCCATTATCGTTTGTCGTTATTATATAATTTGGTAACATAATCAAAATTTTGTTTTTTTGACTGGCAATTTAATTCCTTGTTAAAAATTGAAAATTTTCATATTTATTTTATTATTTTTAAGACTTATTTAAAGTATGTAATTGAAGATTTCATAACGTTTAGTTTATGAAGTAATTATTTGTAAACAGCGAAGCAAAAAAGAGAATAAAGAGGAAAACAAGTCCATTTGGCGTCGTCACAGGTATGAAGCGTTGGCCCAACTTTTTCCTTCTTTCTCCTTTCGCTACGAATTTCCCAGAAAAATGAGCTGAATATTTGCTTCTTCTTCTTTCTTCGGATGATGAAGAGAAATAGAGTAGGCGGGAAATCGAATGGAGCATGTGCCGGGATCGTTCGGCACCAGCGCCAGTTTCGCTCTCCGTTTCGGCCAAATCATCTTCTCTACCGCTTCGCTTATCTTCATGTGCTTAGATTACGATTTCTATGACTTCACTACCTTCTGGTAAAATCCCGATTCGATTTTCATCAATATTTCAATACTTATTGCTCTGCGACTTTTCTGGGTTGTGGAAATTTTTTTTTTCGGAATTCGAATCGATGAAACAGATGAACATGAAAAAAGGAGTGAAATTCGGAAAAGGGTTTCTTGTTATTCGTTTGATCAAAACGCCTGATTGTTGAAATTCTGAATTTTTGATCAAAACAATTTAGAGGATAGGGTTTGGTCCTCTGTTTGTGGTTTTGATTGAAATTGATGATTAGCTTAATTCAAAACCCACACTGAGGATAGGTTTCGTCTCATAATTTAAGATTACCTTTCAAGATCTGATTCTGATATTGTCTTAATATCTGTTTCTTTAAGCTATTTGACGACTGTGATGGCTTTTGTAACTCCATGGAGCGTCTCACTCGCACTGACCGACACATACTCTGTCCTAATGAAACAACTTCCTCATGAAGCAAGAGTTATATCCATGGTTGTTGCCGGCGATTTGGTAAAGCCAAATGCAAAAAGAGAGTTATATTCTTCATATGTGTGTAATCTCTCAATCTATCTTATCTAACAATTATGTTGTAATATAACAGGTACTGTCGTTTCTTTCTTTGGGTGGGGCTTGTGCTGTAGCCAGTGCAACCGAGCTGCTTTTGTCTCTCGGTTCAGGAATCTGCGGCGATAACCTCTGTAGCCAATACCAAATCTCGGCTACGTTGGCCTTCTTGTGTTGGTTTCTATTACTTGCTTCAGGACTCTTCAATCTTTGGAGTTTACCTTCTTTATTTTAGTGACCAATGTTTATTTATAGTTATACAGTAGATGATAGATAGAAATCATAATCATAATGTACATTTTATATACTACTCTTGAACATGTCACTGTTAATGTAGTTATGTGAAATAAGTTTCCCCATTTTTATATCACACACACTTGAAAACAAAATGGGTTTTGGTTTGTAAGCAAGTGATTCTAAGCTATTTAGTATTTACACTGCATTTGGTTGAGGAATTTTCTACGTTTTTTAAATTTTTTCATCTCTCTGGGTCCTCTTAGTCAACATTTCGCTTTGTAGATTTACGCTTTTGCCATTGATCATATGTAAAAATGGTGGCCCGAGAGTCTCCTTCAACATAAATAAGCCCAATAATCTGACTAATCTATACTATTAAAATGGACCAATCTATACTATTAAAATGGAAATATGTTTTGTATCCAAACAGTTTTTATTTAATTTTTTATTATTCTATTTTTGAAGAATTCTTATTTATATTACCAAACAAATTAATTTAATATAATATTAATAAAATAATATATTTTTAATTTATACTTCAGAATAAATTCAAAATTTTAAATTTAAATTTAGATTTGTTATAAATTTCTTTATCAAAAACCATAAAACAAATTATCATTATATTTTTACAAAATTAATAACTTGGATATTAATTTAGATTTAATTTAAATATTCAAATTTTAATAATATTTTCAAATGACAGATAAAAATAATATATTTTTATTAAATAAAATCTAAATTTTTTAATATTCAAACTTAAAAATATATAAAATATACAAATAATATGAATGAACGAGTTATAATAATAATTTAATAATTGTGGTCATTTTCAGATTAATATAAATAGACATGTTATAATGATATTTTTATAATTATTGTACTTTAAAAACAAATTATATATAAAATAAAATTTATCACTTAATAAAAAATTATATCTAAACAAAAACAAAAACATAAATTATATTACAAAATTTTATAAATTATAAATAGATACTGTGCGGATGTACCGGGTAGAATTTAGTAATAGTTTAAAACACTAATTTAAGGTTAAGGAGATCTGCTGATTGAAACGTAAGTTTTTTCTTTCTTATTTTTGGAAAAGAAAACAAAAAAAGGAAATATTTGTTGTTGAACACAAAAAATATAAGGAAATAATTGTTTTGATTACTCTAGTAAATGAACTACAAATCCTAATCTTCTCTAGAAAACTATATTTGCTCTATAAAAGTGTAAAACCATAAAGACAGGCGATCCCAAAACAACGTTGCTTACGAAGAAAACCCTAATGGTGGAAAGTATGAAAGAAACTCTTGAAGTTCAGAGCTGCATCAGAGAGTTTCCATGGCTAATTCAGATGCTGAAATCGAGACGATTCCATGAAAATTGCGATCAACACGTGGAAAAACTGCGAGCTTACTTCTGTTGCGATTGTATGACTCCTCCTTTCTGTTGTATCTGCTTAAAAGAGAACGATCACAGTGACCACCTTACGATTCAAGTAAACAATCTTTCTCTCGTTAATTTTTATTACGTTGCCACATTCACAACCTCTTTTTAACTAATGAAAAACAAGCTTTAGTTATATGATAATTTGGTTTTGATATTGCAGGCATTTAGATGTTCCAACCAGTCAGGAGTATCGATCAAGACGATACCAAAATATATGGACACGTCGGGAATACATCCATATAGGATAAACAAAGATTACGTCTTTTTTATTAATCAGCGACGTGAGAGTGATAATCATCGTAGTAGAAATAATGTTCCGCATAAATGCAAAGTCTGTGAATGGGATCTTAAAGAAGCTACTTCTTCTGACTTGTTCTGTTCCATAGAATGCAAGGTACATTACTTCTGATTTTTTTTTTCTTTCTTTTTACAGTTTAACTCCATATATAATTTTTAGGTTTTTGTAAATCTAACACTATAATCTGATTGTAAATATGACAGTTTAGGAACGCTCTTGGATCACAACTGGATGACCTTATGGAGAATCCAGAAGATGTTGTTGTTGAGCCCGTTGTGAAGAAGAAACATAGGAGGAAAGGGATTCCATATAGATCTCCTTTCTATTAGGATTTAAATTCCAAAACGATTTTCAAATATATGTGGTTTCTTTATTAGGGGTTGGAGAGGTTTCATATCATTCAATACATGCATGTTGGACTTCTTCTTTTTTTTGTCTTTTCCTTCCGGGTTTAATTAGATAATCGATGTTTTAATCGATGTTTATTTAAATTGTGGTCTTAATATTCTGAGAAAAGAATGGCAAACTAAGAGCATGTCCAGTAGACCATATCCATCAGGGTCATGGAGAGTTTATGGCCCAGTTTCATAGACAGAAACCATTTAAAAGAAAAGAAAAAATGCTTAATATTGATGAACCGACTCTTCCTGAAAAGTCTAAAGACACGGTATCGTCCAGATATCATTACACGTGGAAAACTGTGATTGGTCGAAAAATTAGGGGACAAAATTTTTTTTTTGGCATCGGGCTTTTTCTTTTCTCCTTCGCACGACTCTCTTCTCTCTTCCTGCGATTTTCAGCTGCTCGGAGAAAACTCGAAATCACGCCGTGGACTTCTAATCCCATTACCGAGATCCATTCCAAGCATTCAGGTACCTCTTCTTCGTCTCTAATTTGTTAAACTTGAAACGGATTTGGGAATTTTAGGGTTTCGAATTTTGGGAATTTCGAGTTTGGGAATTTCGAGTTTGGGGTATCCATTACAGAGACAAAGCATAACACAAAAGGGTATTCGAGTTTCTTTTTCTCTTTATGTGTGTTGTTGTGCTTTTAAATCGGGGTTTTAAGGTTTTAAGAGAGGTGGTGGTTCTGATAAAAGTTAAGAACTTTGGAGTGGATATTACACAGAGAAAGAGAGATTGTGTGTGTGTTTTAGTTTAATGGGAACAAGAGCAGAACGTAATAAGAAAGATTTTGGTGGTGGGTTCGGATTTGGAGTTGTAGAACACTCGCATAAAGACATTATGGTACTACCCCATCATCATCATCAATATCCATCATATTCATTGCCTTCCTCTTCTTCCTTGTGTTACTGTTCCGCTGGTGTTGGCGATCCCATGTTCTCTGCTTCAAGCAATCAGTCATACACTTCTTCTCTTGGGGAAATGTTTTCCCTCGCCAGTTCTAATTCTGCTGCCGTTTCAGTTGCAGACCCTTTTTTCACCTTGAGCTCTTCAGGTTTCAAGTTTTCACCTTTTTTATGACTTCTGTGCTATGTATAGAATTGAAATTTGTTATGCTGGTTTTTAATGTGAAATCGGTGGATAAAATTCAGGGGACGTGGGAAGAAGTATGAGTGAAAAGGAAAGTGTAGCTTTCAGTGAAGCTCAATGACAAGAGCTTGAGAGGCAGAGGAATATATATAAGTACATGATGGCTTCTGTTCACTAACAATTCAGATGGTAAAAATCTCCCTTGCTTTCAGATCAACTTCTGTAGGTTTCCCATTTTTTTTCCGCATCAAAGCTTTGCAGCGTCGAGTTTGCAGCGTCGTTGAGGTCCATAGAGCTTTGCTCTGTCTGATTTTCTTGAGGTCCTGCTTTGCAGCGTCGAGTTCAATGGTCGTTGAAAGATATTTCTCTCTGACAACGTCAAGTTCGTGGTGGTGAAGAGGAGAGCCATGAGACTTATCATGCTCAAGCTGTTCTTCACGTTGTTGGAAGGTTTTTTTAGTGTCAATTTTTATATCAGTTTTGATACCAGAATACCAGAATCTACTTAAAAAATATATATATATTTTTTTTTAATTCTGGTGAACCTCATTTTCAGGTTTACTAATGAAACACAAAAATTAGACAGATTCTTTCCAAAATTTAAAACCAAAAAATAATAATACTATATTGTGGTGAATCTCTAAAAGGAGTTCTTAGGAATTCATGGCTAGAGTTCATATGCATTTTAGATTTAAAAAAATAAATAAAGCTTAATTATGAAGGATCGGTTCGTCCTCCAACGACCTAAAAACTCAAACTCTTATCCTAGTGCGACGTGATTGGACAATTTTTTTTTTAATTTTTAAATTTTTTAAAAATAATAATATTTTAATATAAAATAGTTTGCGGAAAAAAAAATTTAATTATATCTACATAAGAAAGAAAGCCGGTTTAAAAATTTATTTTAATTCATGGCGATTTTTTTTAATACATTAATTTTTTTTTTAAGTTATACCGATTCATCTCAATTCTAAGCATAAATTACATAGGTTAAGAAATGAAGCCCATAACTTACTAGGTTAATTAGCGGATGGGCTAATTAAATAAGCCAAGGCCCAAGAGATTATTTATAGTAGGCCATGGCTCGAACTAAATCACACACACTTACTTGATTCTTGTTTCTTTTTACTGGATTTGACAATCTCTTGGCTGCTGCCCATTTTCCCATGGGAGTCCTCCTTCGTTTCTGCCTCCGGCGATGAAAGACGGAGGATACAGAGACTGGGCGGGACTTCCGCCGGAGCTAACGTCGTCGATCCTGGTCCGGCTTGACGCGATTGAGATACTGGAAAACGCTCAGAAAGTGTGCAAATCGTGGCATCGAGTCTGTAAAGACCCTTCGATGTGGCGGAAGATTGATATGCACACCGGCTTGCGATGCGACGGTTGTTACCCCAGGCCCGATTGTGATCAATGTTACGAGACCCTGTCCCTGTCTCGTCGGTGTTACGAGACCATGTGTCGTCACGCTGTTGATCTTAGCCAGGGCGGTTTGGTTGAGATCGACATTTGGCGATTCTGTACCAACTCTCTCCTCAATTACATCGCCGACAGGTACCGTCTCTCGGAATCTTGCCAATTTTCGGATTCTAGGGTTTAGAGCTTATGATTGTTTTTGGAGGATTTTGTGGCACTGATGAATACAGTTTTTGGAGATTGTTGTGTTACTTTTGGAATATGTACGCATTGCTAGTTATTAAGTCAATTTTGTTGAATCAGTAGTTTTGTTAGATTATGAACAAGGCAATGTTTAGTTTTAGGATTTTGACTGTCATTTGTGAGCTCTGGTCCTTAGCCAAATCATAGAGAGTGGGATTCATTGGATCCCTTCGTACAAGGAAACTGAAGATTTTTGCTTTCTTATTCAGTTTTTATGCTCTTACGCCGGTTTGATCATTCTGTGCTTCATTATTCCCTTGCTCTTTCCAGTTTCCATATCCACTTATTCTGAGATTGTTATGCTTTGAAGGTCTAAATCTTTGGCTTCTGATTCTTAAATGTGCTCTAAAATATATATATTTTGCATCTTTATCTTTATCTTTATCTTTATCGCTCCTGGACTCTATCTTAGGATATGTTTTTTTTCTTCTTAAAACTTATACACACAATTTTTTGCAGGTCAAGTAGCCTGAGAAAAGTTGGACTTGTAATGTGCCATAAACTAGATGGCGAGACACTTGTCGAAGCACTTGCGAAACATCCATTGCTTGAAGAACTCGACATTTCATACTGCTCATTTCCAGAAGAGTCTCTGAAAGCTGTAGGCAAGTCTTGTCCAAATCTGAAGACACTGAAGCTAAAAACTCCTGAGGTCACCTATAATGATGATGAATTTGCCATAGCAATTGCACAAGGCATGCCCGGACTACGCCACCTCCAGCTTTTTGGGAACGACGTGATGGGCAACGAGGGCTTGGAAGCCATTCTTGACTCTTGTCTTCACCTCGAACACCTCGATTTGCGCCAGTGTTCTGGAATTCAATTTGTTGGGGACCTCGAGAAGCGATGTTATCAGAGGATCAGAGATTTGAGAATGCCCCATGACTCAACTGATGATTAGCCATATTGAAACCCGTTTGAGATGTCCTGTGGAAGAAGCTGATGCTAACGGAAGATATGTTGTGGTATTAGGGTTTGAAGATTTTATGTTCACGGAAGAACTAGCACTAAAGTTCGTTTTTGCAAGGAGTTCGGGAAGTTGTGAATGTTCGTGTCTTAGAATCATTGTCACATAATACACGTCGACATAAAAAAAAATGATCCCTATATTACTAAAGCACAAGTCGCCTGGCCAACAAATTCTGCCACATAATTTTTTCTATTTTTTTTAAATAACTAAAACAAAATAATGTTTAAAAAATAAGAAAGAAAAAAAACGCTTAGCTACAGTTTCTCGGAACAGCCCACGACCCACGATCCTTCATCATCGTCTACGATTTTTTTCTTTTTCATACTCCTACATCTCTCATATTTAACTAACAAATTGTAGAGACACTCTCACGAAATCGAAAAGATGAAAGTTACTTCTTCTTTGATTTCAAAACCTGATTCAAATTTGGGGTCGTATTGAATATCCCAAACCAAAGCCAAGTTCGATTCAGGAGCTAACGGATCTCAGCGACCTATTTTCGCCAGCGAGTTGTCTCAATCCTCTCTACAGTTTCATCTGCTTTGCAGGGCACCGGATTGCTTCATCGGAACCGGTAAGGGGTTACGAAGGTTCAACAAAGAGTGGGTTAATTCGATCCGTATGGAGATCCGAATTGCTGGAGATTCGACCCATACAACACTACCCAAAATATCAGATTGTTGAAAGTTTTGTTATTGTACAACAGAGATAAATTGAAAACCGTAGAGGTTTGGTACTTTTTTTTCTCTATAATTTTAGTATTTCAGATATTTGGTAAGAAAATTTAGTTTATGCAGGATGTAGGGGCGAGAGGAATATAAAGTGTTGACGATGACAAAATTGGTGCTGCCATGCAGGAACATTGATTAAATTCGAAGACAAAATTAAGAAAGGTATATATTAGCTTATGTATGTATCAGTTGTTACAGATTTTCAGTAAATTGGTATACAGTTTCTGTACCTGCAATACACAAATTATTTTTTTCATATGTTTGATACTACAGCTCTACTGCATCTTTTTAACAGCCAAGCAAAATAGGCACTCACATAATCAAATTTATGAATTTGTTTAAGATTACCTTTTCTAAGAATAACAAGTAGAGGTAAATCACGAGAGGCTGTCTAAAGGATGTGTGATGAGCTAAAGAATAATTTGTGTTGAGATTGCTGCGCCCAATTTTTGCTGCTCTATAAGTGGATCTTTAGTTCAAATAGTCAGAATATAATATCTGAAAAAATTGCAGAGGAATTGTCGGTGGCTTTTTCAAATCAAGGATCGTTGGAAACAAATGAAGTTATACCTTTGTAATGTATGGGTTTTGAACTGTTTCATATAACTCAATGATTAGTGTGTTAATGTATCTTTTTATGTATTCTCATCCTCTACTGCTAAGTCAAAGTTAGTTTTTTTTAACTGCTGATTTTCATATAATAGTTATTTATCTGTATAACTATATTTTGGTTTTATTTGTATGCAAAATATATTCCGTGCATAGCACGGGGGTAATACTAGTAACATACTAAAACTAATAATTAGCAATTTCATTTCTGGAGAAAAGTAACATACATATATATAACATAACTGAGATTTAGACATGTGTATATGCATTGTTGACCTTTTTTTTTTCCTTCCCCTTTTAGGTTTAATAGATAACTTTTCCTTATGAAGTATGTGTTTGATTTTTGTTTTAATCATCTTTAAATTGTTTAGCGTAATACTCTCAAATTGACAAATTAAGGTTTTCCAGTTTCGGATCATTTCCTTCGGAGTTTTTTTTTTTTTTTTAAATAACAATGGCGTAACAAAATAATGGCTTTTGTATTTCACGAATAAACAACTTTTTTTTTTTTTGCTATGAATGTTAATATCATTATAAAAAAATGAAGAAAGGTGTTACAAAGATGCGCACCTAACACATATGCTTTCTTGGGCAAAAAGAAAAAACAAAACAAAGAAGACATTTACAAATAAGAAGGAATCTTAAACACAGCTGAGCTATCTAATCCAAAGATTCATGAGATTTGCAAGATGATATTGCACACACGGTCAATACCTTTGAAGATAGTGTGAGCCGGAATTACATGCTGATTGTGGAGGACGTTGTTGCGTTGCTTCCATATGTGGAAAATAGAGGCTTGCACCACGAATAAACAAGTTTCCTAACCCTCTAACTTAAAATAGCTAAGTCAACAAGTAGAAATAGTTTCACGTGGAAATAGTTGTTATTTATCGTTTCTTTATTTCCCAAAATTTTAGGGTATTCACTGTGCATGCGATTGAGTAAATTCGACTGTGATTTGTCTTAAAATATTGAAACATGTAATAAGTAATGACGTAAACAACTCTATAGGCTTCTCGAGCAAACAAAAAAAGAGCCAATTATATTGGCGTGGGACAGCCATATACCGGAGAGAATATTACCTGATTACTTCCTAAACATACTCCATTAACATCTCACATTACATTAATGATACTTTTGTATTACAATATGAGCATAAGCTACACATCCAAAAATTTGTACTATACACATGAGTTTTGCCAAATATATTTTCATCTTAGACAATGTTTGACTGACTGGTTAGATACCCATCATTCAATACATTAACCCCAAATTCTATTAGAAGGTTTATAAGGAGATCGTTGACAGTAGCTTTTGTATGATTGATGATGAAGATCTTATTACTTTTTCTCTGTTCCGAAGACTTTTATATGGTATTATTTTCATCCCAATTGAATTTTAGGATCAATCATTTTTAGCATTGGAAGATTTCAAGCCAAAGTTTAAACTAATATATCATCAAAATCTGTTGCCATGTTTTTACTATTTAAAATGTGTACAATAATCAATTATAATTTAAATTGTTGATGAAAAAACTATGTCAATATTGATTTTAAAAACATACGGTATGGCGATGGTTATTCTATGTAACGTCATAGTAATGTTCCGTCAAATTCTGTTCCATTTAAAAATAGTACAAAACAAAGATTATTGTAATGCTTTTATGAATTGGGACTAGTTCTTCCTCATCATATGCAAAGAACAGAAGAAATCGGACAAAATTGCTTTTATTATCATATCAGAAGAATTGGTCCTGAATTTTAAGTGGCCGCAAGCTAAAATAACAAATGGGCCGTTTTATAACTAAAAAAAATAGACAATTTTATAACTAAAGAAAAATGGGCCACAAATTAAAGAAAAATTTTATATAAAAAAATAGGGCCGCAAATCCATGCTTGGTCTGCTTGGCCTCGGCTCTGCATATCAGACGCACAAACTATAAATAAAATACAGTTTGGCGGATACGTGGTGATCCCAATCCTAGACAACAGATCAAAAATATAATATACTATCTTTTTAATCTTAAATAATAATGTTAATTAGTTTAACTAAAACAGACTTCTTTTTGGGGGAAAAAAGTATAAAGTGGTAGGGAATAATAATAGAGGTTAATATCTTCATATAATTGAAGCCTATGGTTTTTTTTTTATATTGTGTTTGGTTACACAAGTATCCGATATTAGATACTACAAAACAATTCTATTTTAATAGACTTCAACGGAAAGCGATATTCTTCAACAAATTGATATTTCATTAATTAAAGTATTTACATATAACATTGTACTTATTTATTAATTATAACAACACCAAAAGAAAATTCGATGCAGCGTTGTGGACCGTAATACTGTCTTAGACACTCAATAATTTAGAGTTTGAATTTAAATTATTGATGCACGTTCATATAAACAATTAATGTGATGCACGTACATTACATAGACTTAAAGACCCGAATCTCTCGTTAGGTGACCCACGAAACCAAATGTATCTAAATGGGACCCGAACCAAGATCCGACCCAGTTGGGCCCCACACATGCTTAAGTCTCTGTTGCCTTCACGTGATGCTCCATAAGCCGAGCTTCGTGCACCCCATCCGCCGGAGAATAAACTTCCGGCCACCTAAGCTTTGTCTCCTTGTTCTGATTTTGTCCCCACCCTCTTGTGTTTTGCCACGTGGACTCTTTACTCCTTTCTCTTCTCCTTCTTCGCCACGTTTTCTTATCTTTCTTTCCCTAAATACCCCTAACTTCCGCTTCCTTCCACCGAATCTCTTCGGTCTAATGAGAGGGATGTGTTTGTAAATTCGTTTAGACAATAAGATTGCGTGAGCTGTCCTGTCCGATTTTGATCACTAAACGACAAAGATCTAACTCTGCTTGAAGTTTCCGAATCACGAGGCTCCATTTCGTAAATTCATTGTAACTTATATATAAAGCCACACGAGGTTTTTTGTATCTCCTTCAAAACACAAGACGAGATCTTCTTCTCTCTTTATCTACAAACCTTCACGAGTCAAAAATTACACAAGAAAAAAATGGGAGCTTGCAGTTCAAGTGAATCTCGGAGAACGGAGACGGCGAAGCTGATATTACCAGACGGAACATTACAGGAGTTTTCATCGCCGGTGAAAGTGTGGCAGATTCTTCAGAAGAATCCCACGAGTTTTGTTTGTAACTCCGACGATATGGACTTCGACGACGCCGTTTTAGCCGTCGGCGGCAGCGAGGATCTCCAGCCTGGAGAGCTTTACTTCGTTTTACCATTGACGTGGCTCAATCACCCGCTAAGAGCAGAGCAAATGGCGGCTTTAGCGGTTAAAGCGAGCTCTGCGCTTACGAAAAGCGGTGGAGGCGGTTGGAATTGCGGCGATGAAGGTGAAGCGAGAAAAGTCTCTGGCGGTGACTGTAGAGTGAAGAGAGTGAAGAGAAATGGCTGCGGCGGAAGAAGCTGTGGTGGTGGTAAAGGGAGGAGTAAGTTTACGGCGGAGTTGAGTTCAATAGCGGAGTAGGGGTAATTTGGTCAAACAATTTGTAAATTGTAATTTTAGAAAGTTTGACTTCTTTCTTTTTATCTTGAAAGTTGAATGATATATATATATATATATTTCCAGATGATTTCGCTTTTTAATAGTTCTTCTACATATGGAAATGGACAAATTGAGACTTCAATCACGAGGACGAAGTGATGCAAAGCAAATAAATTGCAAATTGTCTACATACATGCAGTTCAAAAGAAGAAAAAGAAATTGCAAATGTAAGCAATTGGGTTAAAAATCAATCCTCTCTCGCTTTTCTTGGTCAACACCGCGTGATCGTCCGCTTAGTATAATTTACTCTTTTGCCCACAGATCGTTAATATATCGTTACTAACAGTTAGATGAAACGACACCGTTCAAGGGCCAATTTTTTTTGTTTATGGTTAATATGCGACAGGGTTGAAAAAGATAAATCGTTGTAACCAAGGGTGAGTTTTTGTATGAACCAAATATTCAGGGGTTAATTGCAAATTAATTTAGATTTCCCGACCACACAAATGTTGCTTTGCTCAGGCAGTTAAGTGTAGTAGCCATTCCTTTTTGGTGGGAGGAGCAATGGCGAGACTCGCCTTTGCCTCATCGCCACCGCTAACCTCAGTTCGTACTCTCCGCCGACATTTCTCCGTTTTCGCCGCCGTGAATTCGAAAACACCCGAAATGCCCCGAAGCCACCACCACAGCTCCCTCGAAGTTATCGGCGGAGGAAGCGATCGTTTCCTACCGGCTCTAAAAGAATCACTCACCAAAGCCTACGATGCGTTTCCTCTAATCGGATTTAACCGCCACGTGGAGACCATCTACGCAGCTTTCTTCCGCTCTGTTCCTTCCGTCAGGCTCCGCCGGGAATGCCTCCGCACGAAAGACGGCGGATCCGTCGCTCTCGATTGGGTCGCCGGCGACGACAGCTACCTTCCTCCCGAATCTCCGATTCTCATTCTGTTGGTACATTCTTACTCTTCCTAACCACGGAATCGATATGATTATAAACCAAAAGTTTGAGTCTTTTACTTTGAATGTGACCAAAATTTTGAGTCTTTTACTATGAATGTGACCAAAAGTTTGAGTCTTTTACTTTAAATGTGCAGCCAGGTTTGACAGGAGGGAGCCAAGATTCGTATGTGAGACATATGTTGTTAAGAGCACGAAGTAAAAACTGGCGTTGTGTGGTGTTCAATAGCAGAGGATGTGGAGATAGTCCTGTAACGACTCCTCAGGTTTTGATTTCTACTCTTTACTATTTTCTATATTTAGATTCCATGATGCTTAGTCCCATTTAGCATCATTCTCTTTTTGGGAATTTTGTAGACTAAAGTGTGTATGATACTGATAATGCAGTTCTACTCGGCTTCGTTTTTAGGAGACATTACTGAAGTGATTGCTCATGTTGGAGATAGATTCCCAAAAGCTAACTTGTATGCAGCAGGATGGTCTCTTGGAGGCAACATTCTTGTCAACTATTTGGGTCAGGTTTAGCTTTTAAACCCCCATGAGTTTTTGAAAAATCCATGTAGATGATTTGCAGGTTTGCTGGTTATAACCGACCTTTGTATGTTCTGTTTCAGGAATCTATTAACTGCCCTCTCTCTGCTGCTGTTTCCTTGTGCAATCCTTTCGATCTTGTCATAGCGGATGAAGATTTCCACAAGGGTTTTAACAATGTTTATGATAAGGCCCTGTCGAGATCTCTTCGTAGAATATTTAGCAAGTAATGTGTTCGTTTCTCTCCTCCATCTTTGACTCTTGCCAGTTAAAGTCATTTGTCACATATGGTTCCATCTCTCTGCAGACATTCTCTTCTTTTCGAAGATATAGGAGGTGAATTTAACATTCCCATGGCTGCAAATGCTGAGACGGTTAGGGATTTCGATGAAGGCTTAACCCGTGGTTAGTTTCTTCTACATCAATGAATATATTTTTCTTGATACTTATGATAAGATTTAATGGAACCTTGAGGTAAACGTTTTGAGGGCGCACTTGCAATCATTTGTCTTTCTTTTTTTTTTTGTGTGTGTGTAAACAGTCTCATTCGGTTTCAAAACAGTGGATGAGTACTATTCCAAGTCGAGCAGCTCAAAATCGATAAAACATGTCCGTACGCCCTTGCTTTGCATTCAGGTGAATCTCTGAACAATGAGTGATGAATCCATCTGCTTGAAACCTGGTTTATTCATATGTTCATATCTTGAAATGCAGGCATCAAATGATCCGATTGCTCCTGATAGAGGGATTCCTCGCGATGAGATCAAGGTAAGAGACGAACCATCAAGGGTTCTTTATTCACAGGCAAATGATGATTTTGGATATATCTAACAACTAAAAGTTTCAGGCAAATCCAAACTGCATGTTGATAGTAACACCAAGAGGAGGGCACTTGGGGTGGGTGGCAGGCGCAGAAGCTCCAAGCGGAGCTCCTTGGACCGACCCTGTGGTTATGAAGTTTCTGCAACATGTAGAGAGTTGTGGAACCATTAATGAGGAGAGACTCTTGGAGGATGCTCATCAAATTCAAGTCTAGTTCTATTGCATAGTATGTTTCACTCATACACTATTGTTGTGAAAAAAAAAGAATTCTAAATACTCGAAGAGTCATAGTATAATAGTTCTTGCATTTTCAACTACGAATAATACTATCTTCAGTTTCCTACTCATTAAGTTTTTTTATATCTAAAATGCGTAATCCTTAGTTAAATTCATAGCCATCCCTTTCATCTATTTCAAATATTTTGTTTCTACTTTACCACAATGAACTCACATTATGTAAATCTCTATACCTTTGGATAACCTTTGAAATGAGGGAACATATATGGTCCTCAGTTATGCAAAGAAAATCCATGAATAGGATAATTTAAAATGATCGTTAGTTAATGTATACTGTGGTATTTGAAAAGAACATAAAACATGAAGCTGATTAATTACTCGAAGAGTTCAAATTTCAGGGTTGAAATTTTGTGGGATTCCGATTTTGCATCAAATTTAAATAGGAAACTCTCGATTACAATCTTTTTTACTTTCACAGCTGAAGGAAATACTGCCAATTAGAATTTAGAAATCAAGCTTGTAACATGCGGTGGTTTTTTTTTTACAACTAAGGCAAAGTATATGACTTGGAGAATATTTCCTGGTTTATTTAAGTTAGCATCGAGTAGCTTCATCTATTATTATGCTCATGTGGAGAATTATTTATCTCGTTGCTATAGAAAGAAGATTGATTAAATTATGTTGCATAGAATGAAGTGGAACACATGACATCAAGAGTTCTTATGCATTTCTCGTGGGTCTAGCTTCCAGCAAATTCCATCAATTCTTCTTTGTCATGTATTTCCATTTTTTCCAACCAAAAGAATATAACATAAACATACACGTATATAATAAAATAATATAAGTCTTGTTTCCTGATTTAGTTAGTTTTACCTTCACAACTATAACTATAAATGACAATTCGAACGTGCCATTCTCATGACAGTTTGAAATTGCTTCTCTAACCTAAGGTTGCTATTCATATCGTATATATAACTTCAGCAATATATGTGATGTACGTATGTAAAATAAAGTCAGTAGTATTATACATCGCACGAAGTTTAAGTAAAATAATAAATTAAATGTATATTCGAACTCCCAGTACGTTTGGCTCAACCATAAAGGTAAGTCTATATCATAGTATGAAGAATTGAATAAACTATGCAAAAATAGTATAAGTGTATACTCAACAAACCCCCTAAATTTATGGAGCTCACATTCCAAAGTATAAATAAATAATAAATATTTGTACGACTAAACAATTATGGAATATGTACATTCTTCGATAAGAAAGAAAATAAGGTTTTAGGCTCTAGCCTAGCCTTTGGAAGAAAAAAAAACACAGCTATATTAGCCAGGTTCCACTAATTAATGATTCTTGTTACCAATTTTAATCCGAATTAATGGAACATGGCATGTGCATTATATATGTTCACAAATCTTCAAGAAAGGGATGGTTTGTTTTGAAAGCATCATCAATAACCAAGATTTACAAATAAAGGGACTGTCCCCACATGAACATGAAACAAAACACAAAACAACTTTACCTTTAATTTTGATTAGTCTCTTTTAATCAATTTTAAAAAAAAAAATTTAAACAGCAATAACGATGTAGAGGATGAGAGAGAAGGTGGCGTGGCTGTCTGGTCACTGAGTAAAAAATAAAGTAATGTTTAGAGAGAGAAAGAAGAATATTTTTTGGTTCAAGGCCCACAAATACATGTAATCATCAAAATCATGAGATAGAGAGAGAGAGTGAGGAGGAGAAAGGGTAAAGTGAAGATAAAGGAATCGGGAGAGACAACCCATTTGATGCATCTCTTTCTCTTCCTTTCTTGTGTTTTGGCTTTACTCTTCTTTTGAAATTCCAATGTCTTTTTTGATTATGATTTTAGGTTAAAGCTTGTTTCTTTGATTCTTCAACACTATTATTACCTTCAAATCATTCTACACAGCTTGCTCCATCTTTTTAGATATTTTTGAGAGATTCATAGATTTTCCGATTTCTAGGGTTTTCTACAAATTGACTCAATTCCTCTCTGTTTGTATCTGTATCTTAGATTGTAGATTTCTGGGTCCCTTTCTTGTTGTTTCTCTTTCCGTTAATGGTGTGAAAGCTTTCAGCTTTCTCTCTCTCTCACTCTCTCTGCTGTATCAACAATGGCTGAGATCAAGATTGCAAAAGTAGAACAAGGGCAAACCAAGATTAGGAATGTTCCAGTAGCTGTAACTCCTGAAGGTTTCTGGTGTTGTCCTTCTCCTGTAGCTTTTCAAAAGACTATCAAATCTCACAACTCTCTCAACAAACACAAACAATCATCTCCTCCTCCTCCTCCACTTCCTAAACCCAGACAGACGGAGAAGGAGAAGAAACCTTCGTCGACAACTATTAGATCCGTCATCGCTTCCGACGAGCAACAACAGAATTCGGCTAATTCCGAGACCCATCACAGTATTGCTGTTCCGGCGATGATTCAAGAGAGACCACATAGGCAAAAGGTGGAGACTTTGCCGAGAAAAGTGGCGATTGAGTTCGGTGAACCAGGAAGTAGCGATGCTAAAGTGATTTTGGTAGGGAAGCAAGGTTTTTGTGTGAAGCTAAGTGTTCACAAGAAAGTCTTGGTGGATCATAGCAGTTTCTTTGCGAAGAAACTCGCTGAGAAAGATTCGGTTTTTGCTTGTCTTGAGATTGAGAGCTGTGAAGATGCAGAGATTTACGTTGAGACCATTGGGATTATGTATTGTAAAGATATGAAGCAACGGCTAATGAAACAGAATGTAAGCAGAGTCCTTCGTGTCCTCAAGGTATTTGCAGCTAAATCCCTCTATTAGATTCTTATCTTATCAAGATCATTTTGGTGTTGATATATAAATGACTCAATTTGGTAACTTTAGAGCTTTAGGGAATCTCTAAGGACTTGGTTGTTATTGCAGGTTGCAGAGTTTCTTGGTTTCAGCTCATGTATTCAATCTTGTTTGGATTACTTAGAAGCTGTACCATGGGTTGGTGAAGAAGAAGAGGAGAAAGTGATCTCATCGATTCTTAGATTAAAAACCGAAGGAGTTGGTGTCACCACTCCTGTTCTCAAAAGAGTTGCTTCCAGTGCTGTGGATCCACCAAAAGAGACGCTCTCGCGCATCATCGAGCTTGTTTTGAGAAGCAAAGAGGAAAAAAGTCGCCGTGAGATGAAATCTATTGTCCTGAAGCTTCTCAGGGAACAGAATCGGAACAATGTAGCTGATAACTTCAACGAAACGATCTATACCTCTTGCCAAAACTGCTTAGACTCGGTTCTGTCTCTGTTTAAACAAGCCTCAGAGGGAGAAAACCCTGAAACAGATACCAAACAGATAGCTGTAGAAGCTGATAACCTCACGTGGCTGCTCGATGTATTAGCTGAACGACAAGCTGCAGAGGATTTCTCCATAACATGGGCAAACCAAAAGGAGCTCGCTTTGTTACACGAGAAGCTTCCTTTGATGTCTCGTTACCACATAAGCCGTGTGACATCTAGGCTCTTCGTAGGGATCGGGAGAGGAGAGTTGTTGCCTTCGAAAGACACTCGGCTTCTGCTTTTAAGCACATGGTTGCAGCCATTGTTCAAGGACTATAACTGGCTCCAACACGGTTGCAGATCGTTTGATGGTACACTTGTGGAGGAAGGAATTGGACGGACGATACTGACATTGCCGTTGGAAGATCAGCAGAGCATTTTGTTGTTGTGGCTTGGGAGTTTTCTTAATGGAGGCGATGGATGTCCGAATCTTCAGAGAGCTTTCGAGGTTTGGTGGAGACGATCCTTTGTTAGACCTTACTCAGATCGTCAGGCTAATAATGGTTTGTGTCAGACAGATTCGACTTCAAAAGAGTGATTTTATATTGAAAAAAAAAAGCCGAGTAATCTTTGTTAGGCTTGTACAGTGAATAGTAGTAATGTAGCTATGGAATGTGTTGGTTTGCTGATCTTGATTTCCGCTTTGGTTGCTTGTTTTGGTTTAGCTCGTACCATGGCTTTAGTGGTCGATATTTTTTTTTGATGTTTTGTATTTTTCCATGTTTCATGATGCTTGCTGGAGGATGTATATTTCTGATTCGATTTTTATTATACCAGTTTTAATGTTGTGGTTTTGAACCGAGTTTTGTATACCATAAAATGGGGGAAAGCATTGAGCTGTATACGGACATTTCTTATTCGATTTGGTATTCGGAAAAAGAAACCACAAAGTCCGTCTTTGATGGACCTAAATCTGATGGGCTATATACGGACATCTTTATAACTTTTATGTTATAGCATTAGCACATATACGACTTGTTTAGTTGTTGTTTAACGTCCGAAGCTCAAATTAATAATTTTCCCAAAAAAAATTTTGTGACATTTTTGAATTTATTTTAAAACGAATTTCAGTACAGTGTAGTAGAGTCGGTTCGTCGTCTTTCTTGACATGTCAAGCGTAAAATTGTTCAGCGCGAGCGTAATGCATGTGAAACATATTTAGAAACTATTCGTTTGGAAAGTCGTTCATATAATTCGGTTGGGAAAATAACAACAAGTTTAGGCATCTAACTATTGTAATCTTATGTCATCCACTTACTATGTGCACGATAACACGTATGAACCATTGCTTTCCCAAAAAAAAAAGAAGGAAAAGTGAAGAACAAACACTTGGCAAATGTCCAGCAGAGGCCAAGTCAGAATAAATTCTCTCCTTCAACTTTCACTGGTTATCTTTGCAGGACAAGTTCGTTTATATTAGATTATTAGTATATATGTTAACTTATAAGTCATAAATACCTACAATAATACTGTCAAAACGTATCTATCAAAAAGAAATCTTATAAAACAATTCAACTGTCCAAAATGGAATGAAAAAAGTTTTTTCAAAAAACTGTCCAAAATAGATATCTTAGCCGTGAACTTACGTCAAAGCTTTAAAATTGATCATTCATAAATTTATTTTTTCACAAAAATATTTCAAGACAAATATACACACACCAGTCACACACACACACACATATACACTTCATAAGCATTTCGAGTAAAAACCAGGGTAATTATGAAATAAATATATAAATTAATTTAATTAAACGGTCATCATTTGCCGAAACTCATGAAAATCAAGAACTCCATTACCATCAATATCGTAAAACTTTATCATTGCTTGACACTCTCCGTGCGTTCTTGATTCCCCCAACTTCGCAAGCATCTTTTGCAAACCCTTTGGCGTTATGCAGCCTGATCCTTTCTCCACCTCGAACATCTCAAACGCCGTCTTCAACTCTCCGCCGCCGTCACCGTCACCGTTACCGTCAAGATCTCTTCTTGTCATCAATCCAAGAAAATCTTCAAACCCTAAAGATCCGTCTGCGTCGGTGTCGACTTCGTTTATCGCCTCTTGAGCTGCCTCGTGAGATATATACTCACCGACGGATCCGAAGTAGTCTCTGAGCTCAAAGGCTGAGATCTTACCGTCACCGTCAACGTCGAAATGGCTGAAGACTCGACGGAGCTCGACGTCGGAGAGGTGATGACTCTTTGCGTTGCTGTTGACATCGATGTTGCTTCTTGGGGAGTTTAAGGTTGAGGAAGAATTGGATTTTGATGATCCTCGTCGGTTTTGGAAACTTAGGTTTAGCTTTAGGGTTTTTGTGGAAAACCATTTGAAAGATTTGGAGGAAAGGTTCTCCTGTTGAGTTGCCATGTTAGAACTTTGATATTATTTGGTGTGGTGTGTTACTCAGTCTTTAACTCAGCTCTATATATATAACAAGAAAGTTCCACCATGATGATAAATTTAACAAAAGGAGCATAAATAATAATTAAGTATAAATAATTTTCTAGAAAAGTTTTTTTTTGTTTGACGATCGTATCCGAATTTTGTACTTAAACCCAACATGATGTTTAAAGTATTTTTATAGACATGTATTACATATACTATATTCACTCTTTGTAGAAAAAAATGAAGAAGAAGGAATATTGTGAACATTTGGGTAAGACATCTTTTCGGATTGAAGGGTGTGTAACTAGAATTTTTACCAGCACAGTTTACTTCTCCGAACATGATTTCTTTTTTTTTTTTGGTCCAATCCGAACATGATTTCTAAGATTCAAATTTAATAGCTAATGCTCTAAATTATCTCAGTCAAGATTTAAAAGGATATATTATGAACTGAAGGAGCATTTGATATTGAATTTGAAAATGTAATATATATATTCTTATTTGAAGTATAGCATTTGACATCGAAATTAGATAAATGTCGCTAAAAAGTAGTCTGCTGTAGTAGAAAAGAAAAATAGAAGAAGAAAAATCATATTTGATTTTTTAATGAAATAAGGGATAAGTTGTGTTAGATAATAAGATGGCATGGATGTCAATATTTCCGGGAAAATGCAAGAGAACAAAAAGGAGGTCCATATTTATCTCCAAGGGAATTTCGCAGAAGGTGCTCTTAGATTTGCTTGATGGTGTAAACTACAAGATTAAATGATTAGATAGGAAAAAGACAGCTGATGAACAATGTGAAATTTCATCGCAGTTTCCTCTATGGTTATTTATTATTTTATATGGTTCATAGCTTTCAAATCCGATTGACTCTTCTTGTTGCATTACATTTTAAGTAACCAATCATTAGCTTTCAGGTGCACACTTTTCTAATATCGAGATTCACCAAATTAGTTTACTGCAAAATTATTCACCATAATTCCATAAATTTGATGCATTCTTGTTTTTTATTTATTAAGTTTTCTTAATATACAACTAACCATTCTTCGCAGAGCAACACGAAACCAATACCAATTTTCTGCCTAATCACTATTGTTTTTTTCCCCTCACAAGTTGCACCACAAACAAATTTGACCTGTTTTTTTTTTTTTTTTGATGTATGTGTTATTATATAGGTAATGAAAATAGAGTTTACCTAACACGTAAACCAGAAGAAACCAGAAATTCGTTTGGATTTGTTAAGAAAAAAGAAGGGGACTTATCGCCCCAAAAATGGTATGCGATTTATCTCATTATACAAAAATAATATAAAAGCCAAAAGAATACAACGCAAAACGTTCATTCGGCCCAACAAGATGGAGCCCATATTAGGCTGTAATAAGAAGTCCCTCTCAGCAGTACATCGGGTCCATTTGCTCATTACCCTACGTGCACAGCTAACGCGTTTCTTTCACGTGCTTCATCTCCTAAACTATAAGTGTGTTGGAATAAATTATGTATACACTTTATGTTTGCGGATGTAGTTTTGAGAGTTTGCAATAGTGTCTTGCGAATTTAAGTGTTCTTTCTTTCTTTCTTTTTTCGTATATAAATATTCAATTTTAAGTGCTAATTGAGTTATCTAAAGAACAGATAATAGTTTTTGACCAAAACTCAAAAGAAAAACAACAGATAACAGTATGTATCATATATGCATAAGATTTTAATAGAATAATTTTAATATGATTGATAAAATTCGTTCAGAAAAAAATCTCATTCTTTTTGTAAAATCATCGATTTAGGAATGTCAAAGATGAAGTGAAGGCATATGTATCACAACCAATGGGCAAATCTAAAACCACTAACAACCCTCTAATCAGCTATAGATAGGCTTTGTGGGTCTATAGCAAAAGTCCAATGGGCTGTTTTATTGAAGCCTGCCCTCAAAAAAAAATGTCCGTTTCTTGATGTGCTAAATTCTGGTTGGTCGGTACTCGGTCGTACACGTAAACCAGCAAAAAATCGTCGGTGCGGTTTTGACAAAGAAAAGGAAGTACAAAATAATCTTACTCTGCCAAATTTATCTGCGACCCGATTAGTCTCGTCAGATTTAGTTAGGCTGGTCTTTGGCATAATGTCCACAAGCCTAATATGCCATTCATAACATATGTAATACGCAAACTTGACCTTTTTAAGTGTTTCAGATGTATACCCATATTACTGAAAATCTTATAGAACAGACTTCATTTTTGAGTTTTTGAAATCTAAGATACATATATAGCAATACATGTAATCACTAATGAACTACATCAGGACTATGTAAACTCTGTTTGATATTTATATAAGAAGTTAAAACAAAAAAAAACATCAACATAATGGCGAGTAATTTTAAAAATCAACAAAAATGTTTGTTTCTATACGTTTGGGGTAGGGAAAAAAAAAACTGAGAAGAGAGTGCGAAAACGAGTTGTAAACAGAAATTTCTAATTTACTTCTATTCGAATATGGGGAAAAAGAAACTAAAATCTCTCTTTTCAGACTACATCTCAATTGTGGTTCAATTTATTTCATATTTTTCAATGGGAAACGAGACAGCATATAACTCAAGGTCTAAGGGTTTTCCCATTTTTATAAGATTATACATTAGGGGGATAATGCTATTTAAATGCCCAACTTTCACTAAAATGCCAAACTTTGAACTATGTTTTGGTGTTTTGTGAAAGGTGAGTACTAAAATAACATTTTGCGTTATATTAAGCACTGTGTATAATACCATCTACAGTTCATGTACATATTAAATTAAATTTCTGAGTTGACCTGAGGAAGAATCTAAATAACATGCATGTTCATTGGTAAACTACATTATTATATATTAATCCGTAGAGATCTAGACGTAATCCCCATTGAGTTGACCACGCGCATAATTCTTTATACAGCTTGGCAATATTACGTATTTACGTAAACATATATTTTGTAGTTGGCATGTGCTTATTAATCATTCAATTAATTATAATCTCAGATAAATAATATCAATACATTTACGTATATACATTTACGGCTTACGTATCTTCATATAAGATAATCACGTAGAAATCTTATGATGTATATAAGTCTACGTGAATTCTATTCACAGCGACCTATTAGTCTACGATGAGTTCTATTCACAGCGACTTATACTACTCTATTAGTCTACGTGAGCTCTGTTTACCCCAAATAGACGATTCAAACATAATATTCCGTTTTACATTATTGGGTTACAGAAATAGAACTCAAAATATAGACTTAAGACTTATATAGGTCACCAATGTAGTTGGGCTTCCTTGTTTAATCACAAGTAGTGTACAACGCGCTGACTTGTTGACTTTTTATGTGTAAATGATTAACTACACGACAACCTCGCTATGCTCTTGGCCGGCGAGTATAGTCGATATTATATGTACTATATGAACAATTAAGTACAATAATCCAATCAAAATATTATGGTAATATTGACTAGACAGCTCAATTGCTCGAATATATGGAATCGAAACAAAAAAATTGCAACTACCATATCGTCATCATAATCAGTATCTGTTAAATCATATTCAATAATTGTACTAAATCAATTTTTCCTGCATGACTTATACGTGATATATAATGTATCTAATATCAAAACCTATTTCAATTCACACGAGGAAAAGAATACAATTCAATCCGTTGTAAGATGTCACATTATGTTTATCGAAGATCGGAAGATGAATCTTTTACAACTGTCTGTCTGTCTCATAAGCTAAACAAAATATCTCATACAAGTCACCGATTATTTAACGTTTTCACAAATATACACATAGTTTAACTAAACATATTTTCTTAGTTCGGTTTAATAATCAGACTCAACATTACTTTAACGAAAAAAAAAAATCAGACGCAACATTATGTCAGTTTTCTTTTACACCCTCGATAAAAAAAAAAGGATTTTAATACAATCAGACATATCGTCACTTTATAATCGAAAAAAATATTTTCAGTGACGCTATAACTGTTTAAAAATTAACGTAAAAAAAAAAGATTATGGTTTTGTCATTAAGATTAACAGTGTTTCCAATTTTGCTAACATCGATTAAGCCTAGTGTATAAAATACGTACTAATACGGTGATAAGTTTAAGTATTACATTAAATTAAGTAATTGAATTTCCTGAATATATATTTGTTCTAGAAACCGAATTCGAAAACCTCGAAATTTTATAATAAAAACTATGGAGTATGTAAGACTATAAATTTAAATTCAAGTAAAAAGAGGAGGTGTATTGAAAATTCATAAGCAGAAAAGCTCTCATATATTATTTAATTGTTATTACAACTTTATTTCAGACTCGCCGTAGTACATTCGGTAGATATGTATTCACAATTCACTATTACCGTATAGGTATCGAGTTAATTATGCTAGAAGACGGCAATACTTACGAGTTACAAGAGTATTAATACCACCACCAAACTAATTACACACCCGACTATCCTTCCTAGTACGTATTTTTATTCAAATATTAGTAACTCTTCACATCCAGTCAAAAATTATGTATTGTTTAAAAAAAAACAGTAACGTCTAGATTATAATCGAACTCTCGATGAGATCGAACCGTGACTCTAACAAATCATAAGGAACCCAAAGCGCATCGAGCGGACAAGGTGTGCCACCGTCAAGCCTTACCCAAGGCTTCCCTTTCCCACTCCAATGCAACAAACTCACTGGACCTGGATGCAAATCCCGACACAATCCTCTGAAATTGTCTCCTCCTAACCCGTGTTGGTTCCACCGGTGATCTACCGGAGCTATGTTTCCGGCGAAGACAAGCAAAAACGGTGGCAGAGACCCAAGCTCGTAGATTCTAATCCTCTTCTGTAACTCCATCCACTCTATGATCTTCCTCGTGTAATCTCCTTGTCTCCATTTCTTTAACTCGATGACCATCACTCCGGTGTTGAAGTAACACGGTGGACGACGACGGTTGAGCGAGAGTGTGATGGAGAGAGAAGGGTTTGACCAGAACGTTGGTGTGAAGTAAGTGGTGAAGTTGGCGTTGCAGTACTCAGGTGCGGCTAAAACGACGTCGGTGGGGATGTGAGTGGTGAAGAGCTTGGAGACGTCGTCGACGAGTATGAGATCCGAGTCGAGGTATACGACACGTGAGAGGCACGTGGGGAGGATCTCGGCGAGGTAGTTTCTTGCGTAGTTTAGCGGAGAGTCGAGCGCCGAGCGGATGGAGGTGGAGATGAGGCCGGAGATGGCGGCTACGTCGTAAGGGTAAATTCGGTATTTCAAGTAAGGAAATGAGGAGACGACGTAGTTTTGGAGTCGGTGGGTTTGTTTTGAAGTGACGAAGTGGAAAACGATGTTTTGAGGGCAAGAAGAGTGTTGGAGGACGGAGAGAATCACGGCCATTGAGCCACGGAGGTAAGCCGCGTCTAAGGTCATTGCCACGTGGACGGCTTTGTCTGAACAGGCGAAGTCGACGTCGTTTTCGACGTTGAGACAGTTGGGTGAGTTGAAGAACTCTGGAGCCTCTTTGGATCTCTCGCCGCGCGAAAGAAGCCGTGGAAATGGCGAGGATGTGAGATATAAACAGCTTCGCGGTGCATTTTTTTGCG